AACAAAACAAGAAGTGTACACACACACAACAACAACAACAAAACGAGAGACGAGACTAGACAAGACGGGAGAAAATAGAAAATATGAGAAATAATAGAAGACTACAGGACATCGACAATAGGCACAGCACACAACGGGCACAAGACAACAGGGGGAGGGAATAAGAGGTTGACAATCTGAAAATATTCAGTTAGACACATATTAATATCAAGAAGAAAATTTACATTTATAGTAATACATAATATATCTTGGCACCATAATAACTACAAAAATGAACTACTCTATGAGTCACAGTATTTATCGAGAAGATAAACCTTAAGTTTACACTTAAATGAAGAGAGACTAACAGATTGCTTAACGCTAGAGCCTAGAGAGTTCCAAAATTTAGGTCCAGTAAAAACCAAAGTATTAAAAGTTAACTTTGTCCTTACTGGGGTAAGTGAAACGCAGAGGCATTTCGTGTAGCATGGTCATGAACTTGACTATTTTTCTTAAAAATGCTGACTAGAGCCTGTGGAAGGACACCAGAATCGAAGTCGTACATTAAAGAACCCAGTTGAATTTAATGAAATGTCAAAGCTTCGCTCAGGAGGGGGGCAACTGAATTCATGCAGACTAGGATTAAGAGTCGAGAACGGTACAACGAATCGTCTTCTTTCTCTAATAATTTAATGAAATGTCAAAGCTTCAGCGCTTCGTGCGGGAGGGGGGAACTGAATTCAGTCTAGGATTAAGAATCAAGAACGGTACAACGAATCGTCTTCTTTCTCTAATAAATAAAAAAAAACGGCAAGGCGGAAGAGGCCGGGAACTGAATTCAGACAAGGATTAGGAATGGAAAAACTGTACAACGAATCGTCTTCTCTTTCTAATAATTTAATGAACTGTCAAAGCTTCAGCGCTTCGCGCGGGAGAGGAGGGGGGGGGGGGTGAATTGAATTCAGACTAGGATTAAGAGTCGAGAACGCTACAACGAATCGTCTTCTTTCTCTAATAATTAAAAAAAGGCAAAGCGGAAGAGGCCGGGAACTGCGATTGAGAATTTCTTTCTCTAATAATTTAATGAAATGTCAAAGCTTCAGCGCTCCGCGTGGAGGGGGAAAACTAAATTCAGAATAGGATTACGAGTCGGGAAAGGTATAACGAATCGTCTTCTTTCTTTAACAATTTAATGAAATGTCAAAGCTTTCGCACTGAAAAAAAAAAGTAATGCGCACATATCCACCCCAAGAGAGACTCAAGGCGCCTAACAAGGTAAGTACATTGAACGAAAATAATTTAACATAATCAAATATAATTCAACAACGTTAATTACATCATATTTTGAAATACACTACGTCTTAACTAAGGAACTCAGACATTAGATAGGTTTTCAATGTTTTGGAACACATTTTGATTGGCTGACATTTTGATTGAATGGGGTAGGGAGTTCCATAACCGGGGTGCAGCAGCTGTAAAAGCTCTGTCTCCCCAACTCCTCTTTGTTCTTAATTGTGTTAAATTTGTTGAATTAGAGGAACGAATACCTGCACGAGAACTTAAAGAGATATTAAAAGAGAGAAAATATATTCAGGGACTGATCCATTTAGTGAACGGTAGGTGAGTAGTAGAATTTTATATTTGATACGCTGTTCTATTGGAAGCCAGTGAAGTTTCTTGAGTATTTGAGTAGTATGGGTCGATCGTTTAGATTTAGTGACAAGGCGGGCAGCTGCGTTTTGAACCTTTTGTAGTTTGTGAATTTGGTATTTAGGAAGTCCATAAAAGGAGAGAGTTACAGTTATCGAGATGAGATGTTACAAAAGCATGAATCAATTGTTGAGTGGTTTGGGGGGTTAAAAATTTCCTTATAGCGCGAAGATTACGAAGATGATAATTGGCAGCTTTCACACATTTTGAAATATGTGCATCAAGAGACATGCTTGTATCGAAAATGACACCAAGATTTCTTGCCTTATCTGAAGGAGCAATGTGCACAGAACCAACACGTATATGAGTTATAACAATCTTGGAAAGTTGTTGTCTGGAGCCTAACAAGAGAAATTCTGTTTTATCGTCATTTAGTTTGAGATAGCAATCATTCATCCATTTTCGTACATCATGAATACAACTTTCAAGATCTTTGACACGTTAATTTAGCTCTTAGCCCGTGTTTATAGGGTGAAATGTGTTGATATTGGGACATTGGCATTAGTATATTTGTCGGTAATAATATTGGTGGCTAGTTTTGTCGATAATCGGTGGCCTCTACACCCCCCCCCCCCTCTCCCGTCCCGTTGAAAAAAGGTCTAGCGACGCCTTGTGGTGATGGGTCAGAAGGTTTTGATAAGGTCTAGTGCGAAAAATAAATAAAAATAAATGCCGTGATGAATTTGTTTTTGTTTATAATTGGGGTGGGATATCTAGCCCTCCTCGTAGCAACAAGGGGGCAGGATATAATGATGAATACATAACAAACACAAAAAAAAAAAACGGAATGTAAATACAAATGTGCATGCAGGTTCAGGAAAGTTAATATTAATTAATTCGAGACCTGATAAATCCTAAGCAACAGATAAAATACACGTATTAATTATTCAAATACACGTATGCATCCATACAGGTTCACACACAAAATATAAAGAGTCAATGACATTAAATAGCCAAAACAAAAAAAAAAAATACAATAAAGGGAACAAAACAAACGAGGAGTAAGGCTGACGTGAATTGTCATTAAACAAGATAGATCATTATAAAACAAACACATCTACATTATGAAATATTCCCCTCGCCTTCTACGCTTATGATGACGACTCGGACAGTCAGATGTCAGACATTCATATTATTTATATGGCCTGATGAGGTGGTTTGCTGTAAACTATCTCGTCTTGTCACGAAAGTAAATTTTCATAATGTTTGCGACAAATATTCGGGGCCATGTGTCGCCCCCCCCCCAGAGCTACGCCACAGCCAAACATTTCCCTTTCTTATCATTTTGTTTGCTATGTGATTTTTATGACTAGCAACCCTCCTTCTCGTATTATGAATAGCGACCTATTTCGTATTATGAATAGGGACCCTTATTTCTATTATATTCCCTTATTTCGACCTCCTTTTGTATATTTATGATCCTCTTCATAATTATGATGGCAACCCCTCATTTTCGATATGAATCGGGGTCATTAAATATGAATGATGACCTTATGAATAATGACCGTTTTCTAAAATTAAGAATCAACAACAATATATCCAAAGAAATCTAAAGAAATCGGGAATACAAATAATAATGTTGATATTAGCAAGCTTGAAGTAAATATCGGAATTAGAAGAAGAAAAAATATTAATACGTGCTATTCTGTTTTTAGAATCCCCACTGTACTACTTGTAGCTAATTGGCCCTCTGGAGAGAAAACAACGCCCTAAACGGTGCCCGTTGGTCACCCATGATCCACTTTTTGTTATGTTAATCGAGAGCTGAGTTGATGAGATAGCCACCTGTCAGTGACCACTCTGTGTGGTCTAACCCCCCCCCCCCCCCCCGGCCAAACTAGTACAGACGGGCTTTAACATCCTGACTAAAATGTCGCAAAGTTTTCCACATTATTTTGCGTGGCAGCCCAAAAGAGGCTGACTGAATTTAGAATGATGCAGTGACATTATTTGTTTAGATCGAATTTGATAATGGTGCATACCGTGCAGGGGCGGCGATTTCTTTCACGACCGGGGGGGGGGGGCAAAATGCGAGGGACGAGGGAGCAGTGGCGTAATGAGGAAAAACGTTTGGGGGGGGGGCAGAGAGAAAAGAACCCGCATCACCATCACTCTTACATGTTACTCAGGTCCTGGCTAAAGTATTTACGATCAGGTAGATCAAGCCGAGCGAAGCAAGTGGACCGTAAGGTCCAGGGGGCAGAGCCCCCGGAAAGTCAGGGAAAATGCCATTTCAGCAACATTTGTAAATCACTGGTATCGAATTAGAAATAAACCACGTTTGAATGATTTTTTTGAGGGGGGGACTTCCCAAAGCTCCCCCCCCCCCCATCAATATTGCGAGGGAGCATAGTGAATGAGAGGGACTACCCCTTACGGATTTTTGAAGTTTTGGTTTTATTAAAAAATTACATTTCTTAGCAAAACTATAGTATAAAAAACAAGCAATAAACTTTTTTTTCACACTTCGTTTTGCTCAGTAGGCCTATTTACTTATACATTTAGAAGGTTATTATGCAAGGGAGCGTAGCTTCCGAGTGAAAAGATTTTTGCATTTTTATTTGTCTACACGCTGCACTTTGGGCCCTCCAGAACCTAAGTTTGTTGCAGTCTTTAGTATTTGCTACCTTTTTCGGGGGCACATTTTCAAATTTTGAGGGGGGAGGGACGATCCCCCTTAAAAAAAATGAGGGGAGACGTGTCCCCCCAAAAAAAAAACGTTCCCCGCCTCCACCCCCCCCCCCCCCACCCGCCCAACGCCCCCCCCCCCCCGCCCCTGATACCGTGCAGGAAGCCAGGATTGTTTACTATTACAGCACTCGACCGATGGTCAACACAAATCCGAAAAATACTCTAACACTGAAGCAAACAAGAAAGGAAAAATTTAGAAACAAAAATATAATAATGACCCTGGATGAGAGACTACGTAACTTGTCCTGTAAAAAAAAATGAATATACTTCGGATACGTTTTTAGAATAATGCTCTTTCGCACCAGTGGGATTCGCATTCGGCGACAATCTCCATGCCTTTTACACTATAATGAATCGCTAGTTCATAAAGTCGTCATTAAATTGGCACCGTTAAATTGGCCTTTTTCGGATACCAATAATCTACGTGATTCCGGCCAGGATCAACGCACGTTCGTAAACAATATGGCTGAATTTTCGCAGGTATTTGAAGACGGTCTCCGGGCGAGGAACGTTTTCGTGGCCGACAAGTATGATGATGACGGTCGAAAGGATAATTACAAGGAAGAAGAAGAAAAATATGCTTTTACGGATGAGTCGGGACCCGAGGAAGACCATTCATTGCCGTATGCAGGGAAGTTTATCTCGCTCGTCGGAAAAAACCAGACAGTTGGCTCACCACAATAATGGAGGTGAGCTTGCACTTTCGTCAACTGCAATGTTGTACAATCATACAAATATCTCCCAATACCAGTTTCATGCGCAATGTAGTTGAGAATGGTGTTAAATAAAATGCAATGTTTCTGCACATTCATCTGTTTGTTAACTTTATAAATATAATCATTACATGTATCATGACAATGGACAGTCTGACTCTGACCAGAGAGTAGACTGAAAATTTATGTTATGTTTCTTTCGTTCGTTAGCCTCTTAATTGGGTAGGGTCGGCTCCTCTCTTTAGAGACAGAAGCCGACCAAAGGGTCTCATGGTGCAAACGTTGTGCCATATTTGGCCACTAAACTTTGCCCAAAATACTCAATTTTAGCGGATTAATATCCGATGCATTTATATTTGAAAATTAGGCCTAGACTACATGTACTATAATATGCTTGTAGGCTAAATATACATCGGTTTCACTTACCAGATTGACTGTATGATGCAGTTAAGGGTCTTTTTTTGCAGCTGCGCAGCCGTATTTTAAACTGCTACTGCACATGAAGGAAAATGACGTCATCCGTCAACAGTAACAGTTTAAAATTTGGCTGCAAGAATTTCGGCGAAAGAAAATCCGGAAAAAAAGACCCTTTCCAACTTCCATCATATCTCACTTTCTAGATCCTGGCTGTAGTACTTGTAGCATGCTTCATCTACTACTCCTACTACTACATGGACAACCTGCAGTTTCACGTCACGCACGCCTACGCCCACATGGGCCAAGCTCATGCCGCACACATGGTGGGTCAAAGGTTACTCTGGGGCGAAGGAACCAAGCAGGATGAGGACAAGGCTATGCAATGGTTCAGGTATTATTACATCTCTGCTCTCACGTACTTACATCCATCTTTTTCAAACATTTAAAATGATTTTACGGCTAAAATGTTGCTCTGAGTGCAATTGTTGATAAATTGGTAAATTACGAATCGGGTAAGGAATTGTCTAATGCTTGTTTGACTTTGCATCAACGATTTTGATATGACTGAGTGTTGTAATTCTTATGCCTGAACTAAGAGCTATTATGTAGGTCTACATGTGTATGTTATTGTAGACAACTACTGTACATGGCACGCATAGATATATGGAAATTAATATTGAGTATGGATAGAAACAGCCTTTTTATATGTTGTTGTAGTTTATTAGAATGTTATTGCATTCTAATAAATGAAACAACAAATTGGCTTCTTTCCCTTATTATCGTGTATATAGTTTTATTTACATGACTCAGAAATGTTTATCTCAAATTCAAATATTGACTGAAAATACACAACTTCATAACAGTTATTTCTCATCTGATGTTTGTAAATGTTTCAGTCGACACTTTAATATGATTTATTGATAATTTGACATTTTAAGTCATGTGTTTCATATTTGTCAGGGTTGCAGCTGACAAGGGTCATCCCCATGCATCTCATAACCTGGCCATAGGTCATCTCCATGGTTACAATACAGATGTCAAGGACAAAGAGTAAGTTCGACATCACAAAGATATTTTCAAAGTACTGTACTACATTATTCTTTGCTTTCCAAGGGTGAAGGAAACATTTTCTTTTGATTCCAAATAGTTTCACTAAGAGTGAATTATTATATAGCAGATAGAGTATGATTTTTGCTAATTATTTTTTATTTTCCCCAAAATATCAGTCATCTTGAAAGTGGGATTCCAAATACATCGGCAAAATGATGTCATGAAATCTATCTAAACTAAACTGGGCAACAAAGTTTTAGTCGAAATTGCTGGTATATTCATAATTTAGTCATTTGCAATCAATTCAAATAAAGATTTATAAAACATTGAGAACATTTTTTAAAGCTAAGATATCACCATATCTGCATTTTTTTTCACTCCCAAGTGTAATTTCAGACATGTTTACCATGAGTGTCTCAATCGATGAACCTAAATTTGTCTTTTTGACAGGGAAGCAAGAACTCTTTTGGAATTCGCCAGGGACAATGGAGTTCATGAAGCCCATGATGCATTGCACCGTCTTTGTCCGCATGACCAGTGTTGAGAAAATACGGAAGGAAACAATGGAATCTTGAGTGGCCCTTTTCAGTAGGAAATGAATCCAGCTTATTTCAAAAGACAAATTGTGTTGGTGTTCCTTGTACGTTCTGAATTATGAAGGGCAGGTACAATTAAAATGTCTCTGCCCTTTAATTTGCTTGGTTGGAATTAGCATTGATGTACTTGTTAAAGGGAAAGTCCACCCCAAAATAAGTTTGTTTCGATAGAGGCAGAATAATAAGAAAATCAGGTGAGTGAAAGTTTGAGCAAATTCTGAATGAAAATAAGAAAGTTATGAATTATTGAAGTTGTGATCAATCAAATACAAATTGGCAACTCTGTGACTTATTATACGAGCTCTCCTTCATTTGCTTTGTGCATAATATTCCATAAAATCATGTTTTCTTCGTTATTGATGACGGAATATATATTTGTTCCTTGCAGGGGGAGTATATAGAAACATATTTGCAATTCTTATATTTAGGGTGCATGTATGGTTGAAATTTTTCTTGAGGGAAAATGAAAATTTTAGATTTTTTTAGTACTGAGCAAATGGAAGTTGAGCTCGCATGATACGTCATAGAGTTGCCAATTTGTGTTTGATTGATCACAACTTCAAAAATCCTAACTTCCTTATTTTTAATTGGAATTTGCTCAAACTTTCACTGACTTGTTTCTCTCATTTTCTACTCTTATTAAAACTAACTTAATTTCAGGGTGGACTTCCCCTTTAACAGTATTTGAGAGGTACAGTAAATCATGGTGTTGGTCAGAGTAACAGGAGTAGAGAAACAGATGTGTTAATTATTTTGTCTAGTTATTGCATGCGAATAAGCCTACATGTGATGATGTGTAAGAGGGTATAAAGCATGCTTACGACCCATCCCGTTTGGAAAAGAACAGGAAACTAAAGCATTCCATGCTGTACAACTATGGAATTTTTAACTTGTCAAGTACAACATTATGTAACAAAAAGGAATTTCTGAAAATGATCATTCGCTTTTGATGCTATTGGAAACTTATTTAGATTTTAAAGAAATCAGTTATCATTGTGTTCTGAAACCACATGTTATATATGGTCATTGACTGCCATGAATTATATTGATGAACCTGAACCTGATACTATCATCAAAAGGCCTGAAGCAACACCATGATTTACATGTTCCTTTTAATTGTCTTAGAGAAGACCAATATTCTTTATTTAAAAGATCAGAAATATATATAGATAGCTTGCTCACGTTGGAGAAGAAACAAGTGATATTATAGTGTGCTTTCAATTGTGTTATTTTCAAGAGTGTATAGTATACATACTGAAATTGCCTTTCTTGTATAAGTTGTATTTATGTCTTTCAATATGGTATCACCTTGACTGATAAGCATTCCAAATCTACAACCTTTTACTATTGTTAGTTGTTATATGTTTTTTATGATACATTTTTTGCCTTTTTTAACAGACATTGTATGAAATATGTTATTAGTCCTGGTAGTTGTCACAAGCAATCTGGAATGAGAAACAAGATGTGATTATGTAATAGAAAACTTCACATTAGTGTGTTCAACATTGACAACCACTGTAATATGTCTATCATCAAATGTGTCAAGAGTTGCGAGTAGGCTGTGTATACATGTGCCATGGTAGCTTTCTTATACTGTAAAATTGGTCTTTCATCCGCTGTTATTTATATACGATTACATTGTTTGATTTTAGATAGCCCCCCTCCCAAAATCAGATTCAATCAAATCAGATTACAAAATTTTAAATTGTGAGCCCACCACACATTTGACCAGATTACTTTTTCTCCCTTTTCTTTTCTTTTTTTTTCCTGTTGGTGGGGGTGCATTTAGGGTAAAGATTCTAAATTTTAAAATGTGAATTCTTGCTAATGGGTATTCTCAAAGGTCTCTTAAACTTACAAATTAATTCCCTGCATTTTCTGTCATATTAAACATGTTACTACCGGTATGTTTTTTTTCAAAATCTCAATCCACTTTGGATCTTTAAAATGTCTAATCATATTCAAATTCCTTCCTAAAGATATTTTCTGTCACATGAAGCGATAACATACTTGTAATATACATATATATTGCACACAAGTATTTGATTTTACCGTCCAAATTATTCAGCTCAATTTTTAAAATACAAATATTGTGTAATATATACCTTTGAAGTGTGCTTCGTGATTGTAAATTTCATGTACATATAAATTGAAACTAGAAGTGTTCATTTGCATTCTAAAGAAAAAGGGTTTAAAACAGCTATTACACATAAAAGTATGTTTATATATTTATAATAAACATATCCCCCGAATGAGGCTATGAAGCCTCAACATGAATTTTCCCTACTGTTTAGTAGAAAATTATTGTTATTGAACAATGTAGATTTTTATGCAAAAATGCAATCCAGAAATCTTCACTTATGTTATTAATCAAATAGATGCTACATTTTATTACATTACTCTGTTAGTGTGAAAATATTGCCAGAGTTTTGCTGAGAAAGTTAAGTACTAGAATGTTTGTTTTTTGTTGTGACACATGAAACCTAGTTTGAAGGTTCTGAAAATAATTAGTCGTCATGTACAGTTGTGTGCAATAGTTTTTTTTGTGTTTTTTTTGTTCAGTGCCAGTATGAACATATTTTAGATCAGATGTTTGATTGTGTGTTTGTTTTTTCTTTTACCGTGTTGCAGCAATAATCTTTGGTAGATATTTATCTGAAATTAGACTTAACACAAAATAATCTTTATCACAGAACAATATCTTCTTCTTTATTGAAGTTACATGCCTATTCTCATGATTTAGTCACTTGTCTCTAATCTAGACACTACTGGATTAATATGACTAATTTGAAAAAAAGAGATGTGCATCATCATTTACTTTCTCAGGCCTGTTGATAACAAATGCCCAAAATATCCGCAGTGAGACTGAAACAAAGTAAATTTTTTACAAAAAGTAAAAAAGTTAATTCAGATCACATGTTACATTAAAAATGGTGATTTACCAAAAACAGTGATTTACAGTTGTAATTACACTGCTGAAAAAGTTATTCTACTGAATAGCACAATTTATAAGGAAAGAAAAATATGAAGTAATAAACATTTTGTTATGTCTTCTATTAATAAATGCATTTGTTTTAGTAAGAAGTATTATACCTTTGCATTGGAAAATCAAAGTAGTTCCTATGAATAAATATATGATTAAATTAAATTTATCCTGACAAACAAAAGACTCTGGTAGTTTAAATGCTAGCTTTGGTAATAAATCATAACATTGGGAAACATGATTACATGATGTAATATTTATACCAATTATTTGTGAGAACAAAATATTCAAGAACAAAATAGTCTCGTAGTTTCTTAAAGACAGTATTCCATTAAAAAGTGTGTTGAATGTATTACTGTATTGATTAAAATTAGATTTATGGAAAATTCAATTGTTTGGAGTTAATCATTTGGATGATATTCAGGAATCATGTGTACCCTGTGGCACATGACCAGGGTATTGGCACAATGTTCTTTCATGATCCTTCTCAGTTAACTTTTATTCAGGCGCTTTGTCATCTTGTCGTAATTTCATGTTATTGTCCATGTGTGAATTTTACATATTTAATTACAAATACTTGTAATATTTAGGGAAGCGTGCAATATTCTTGTTAAATTCTTGCATAGGTTATTTAAATGAGTATACATTTAATACGTAAAAATGAACCGATGTTTGCAAAGTGGCCATAAAGCTACAGGAGCCCAGTCGTACGTTTTGGGGAAGAATTAACATTTTAGTCATATCAGTCTCAAATGGAAGAAATGGCAAAATTGTTTGCAACTACATCACAGAGACATGACATGACATCCAAATATAAAGACCCATACCTAAAGTGATTAATACTACCTTTAGTTTTAAAGAAAGATAACTTTCTCATTGTTGTCCGATTTCATTCAAACTTCCAAGAAGCTTGCTATCGAGATTGGATTTCCCTTTAAGAGAAAACAAAAATCACGCCCGTTTGAGACATTTCAAGTGGAAATGCTTTACATTTTATTGTAAATAAAAGACGAAAAGTTGCCGTGTTAAATATTGAGGCCTTTAGTATATTTTCCTGTCTTTTTAAAGTTTTACCCGCCCTTCTCTAATTTCCTTATCATATATTTGTTAGTTTTGCAATTTCTTCAAGTCTATAACTTATCCGGGTCTCACGTTATAGGTCCATGTCCACTTTCCAAGAAAGAATCGAACACATTCCTTTCATTCTCTTCTCTCCTCACAGGAAGTAGCTATAAAATATATTCCTTTTCATTCTCTAATTTCCTTATCCGGAAAGTATAGATACCATTTAATATACTACAAACGCGTATCGGGCGGCAATTAGCACGCGAATCGCGCTCCCTAGGCTATAGGGGGTTAGGTGCAGATAGGGGGTTCCCTCTCGCCAAAGCGCGGAAGCTTTGACGTTTCATTACATATATTAGAGAAATACGATTCGTTGTACCGTTCTAGACTCTTAATCCTTAATTGTCTGATTGTTTAATTGTAAAAATTGTTTCAATGTCTGCTCCTTTTTCTCTCTCTCTCTCTCTCCTCTCTTTTATAATATATATATATATATATATATATAATATATATATATATATATATTATATATATAATATATATATATCTCTCTCTCTCTCTCTCATCATCATTCTCTTTTTTTTTTTGACAAAGATAATGTGATCAGGTACACTCATCATCATTTTCTAATTCATTCCTCTCAGAACTGAGTAGAGACCACAATTCTTATTATTGTTTTCTCTTTCCCATGAAATAGTGCACATCTCCTTCCTCTTCTTCCAGAAATTCCTCATAATCTTTGAGGAGGGAGCTCATCTCTTCTAAGAAAAATACTCCAATTTTCTAATTATACAATCAGCTGAAGCGCGTATGAAACACAACATATGATTTGACAATACGTCATTCTATAGTGGATATCGGCCAATCAACAAGGCGGTAAATATAAGGATTGAATCAGCCCATCCTGGCCCCTCCCATCTATGTTCGCACGTACGTAGTTCCATTATCAATTCTATAACTAGCTTCGCAACGATGGCGATAGGGCTGAAGGAGGAAAACGTAGTTACAAGCCAAATTCCGGCCTATTCTGCGCCGGAGGATGGCAATGAATCGTCTTCTCAGAGGGATCCAAATCCTCGATGGAATCCAAGTCATGTAGAGCCAAAGAGGAATTAGCAAACTTGTACACTGCTGGTAAGTAAATTAAGTTACAGAATCTGTAATTTGTTACAATTTTCCCGGCCACTGTCCCTTCCTCGCCGGTCTCCACCGGCCACCCCGCGCCACTGGTACCGGTACCGCCGCTAAACGCGCTACTACGCGATTGGGAGACTAACGCCTATTTATTTATTTAGTCTAGATCTTTGTATTAATTTCATTTTGATATGAGTTGTCTGAGCTGAGACCCTAACTGTTAAAGTACCAAAGACTGACACGTTCACACTGTGCTAAGCGGCAAACTAAGTCCAAGTCCAACTCAAAGTCCAACTCCAACTTCCAAGGCAAAGCAAAACCATTGCCTATCCACCCAAGCCCAGACAATAGACAAGACTAGATCTAGACTTCTATCTTTATCTAGACCCTGTCACGTGAGAGACTTTTTTAATTTTTTTATTATCGCTACGGACACACAGAATAAAGGGAAATAGAGCTTGTTAATTAAAGTTAAATTGTAGCGTTTAATTTCCAATCATTTCTCCTGTTTCACACACTTTGTTTTGGCTTCAGTAATAATACAATATGTAATTAAACTTATCTTTAACAAAAATAATTCTGGATGGGTAGTTTCACGTCTGACATCGACGCCGGTCACAGCTCGTGTTGTCCACTTGGCCCTGGCCTCCGCAGACGGCGTCTTTGCTCCACTGAGCCGGTAGTCGCCCGGATTCTTGACCTTCGCAGACTGAGATACGATGGTGTGCGTCTCGATCCCAGACAAGAGCTAGCCCCCGACGAAAGCTATGGAGAACAGGGTGGCAGTTGAGCTAGCCTCGTCGCCCGACGTGGAATTACCCTCAGATATTGACTTTAATTGCCGACTTCTAACATGACGTTCAGTCTATTATAGCTTAGGTGGTTCTCCTCGATTGCAGAAAATCCACCTCTAAATATACCCTACGGTTACTAAGTAAATTCTAAAAACATGACTACAAATATTTGGAAGAAGAAATCATCTTACAAAGGAAAATACTTGTCTTCTAAAGAGGCTTCCTAAATGTGTGCCAAAGAACAGATAAAACATGTACACTGAATTAATGACTTCCCCAGGCCTATTCATAAGGAACAATACATCTTGGCCTGAAAAGAAAACATCTGACCTTAACATCTTCACCTGACCTTAACAAAGAACACTCCAGACCAGAGAGCTAAACAAATAAATTTCTTTCCTGACAGACCCCTAGTTCACTACTACCCCATTCACAGTGGTTTTGAAATTTGTAGCGGCGTTGTAGCGGAGCGGCGACACCGCCATAACACCGCTACAAATGCATTCACAGTAGAAAAGTTATCCCGCTGCAGCAGCGGGATAAATATCACGTACCCATTCACGCTGCAGCGGGTGATTTTATTACCTCCGTAACAAACACGTGTATGCATGGCTCATGACGCGAGTGACCCCGATATGACCGGAAATACTTCAGCGCGGGGTTTTCGATTGCTTGCAATTGCGCGCGCTAGCTGTACTTTACACACTTTACTTTACTTTTTAAAAAACTAGCATTTTTATTGCTTCCAGTCAGAATATATTTTAATTTTTTGAAGTGTGAAATATTTTTATTTGGATAATTATAATATCTACATAATAATAAATCAATTTGAATCCACTGGTTACTTTATTTCTATTTCACTTTATGTTCCCCATTGCTGGAGAAAAGAGGTCAGTGATAGGTAAGTAAACAAATCACACGTGTTTGTCGCGGTGTTATAGCGGAGAGCCTTCACACTGAGTAAAACCGCGACAGCAGCGGGGACTGTCCCGCTGCTGTAGCTAGGCGAACCTAGCGATAGTTTGTCGCGGCGTTATCGCGAGGCGGTGTTATCCCGCGATAGTTTATAACGGGTCCGAGCCTTCACACTGAAGACAACACCGCGACAGCAGCGGGACAGTCCCGCTGCTGTCGCGGTGTTTGAGGCCACTGTGAATGGGGTGTACTAGATCTAGACCTAGTAGTAATTTATAATACCCGAGGAAAGATCGAAAGGTTTTATTTCAAATTAATCCGCCTCTTCTACGCCTCTATTTCCTCCAAAATGGTAATTTCCAGGTTAAAATGGGTCTTTCCTTTAAATTTGGGCTGCCCCAAAAGCAAAAGATCCGACTTGAAATTTAACAAGATGATCTTGCTTTTCTTATTCCCTGGTACCATGTTCATTCATTTTTGTTCCTAATTTATTTAAATAATTGTGTTTTCCTAAAATTCCTTTTTTTTTATCCGTTGGAATTGCGGCTAAAGGCTAACCGGCTAGGCTATGTCTTGTCTCCTCTTCTCTCCGATAGTATTGATTTCGCGAGATGCTACTAGCTAGTAAGCTCTACGTGAAACTGTTTAGAAAGATCAGAGACATCTCCGTAGTTTGCGGATAAAGTTATGACTGTCTTGTTGTTGGTTTCAAGAAACGGGTCCCAGACTCCCTTCTGTCCTTCATTTTCTAGGTTTGCCCATGTGTGTAGAAACTCCCACCTACATTTATCTGGGAAATCAAAGAAAAGTCAGAAAACCTTAAACATTGGCTCCTTTTTAACTAAGTCCATACTAAGTCTGGGAATTCAACAAAAATCAATTGAATCAGAGAATTTCACTGGGCAAGAAAAAAAGAAATACCTGTATCTAGTCAGTCTCTGATATACTTTGTCTCATCTCCAAACAGTGTATCCACAAATTATTATTCATAATATCTAATTACATACTTATCATTACACTTTCAATCATGAACTTCTACATACTTACTGGTATCATATGATCCTAATTTTTTCTTTTATACCTATCATTTAACTTCACTACTTACTAGTCCAGTCCTCACATGGTGTGAGGGAGGAGGTATGGTATTGTGTGTGTATGTGTGGTTTTTTTTCATGCAGTAATTTATTCATGTGCATTTGAAACCTTACAACCTCTTTAATTGTATTTGTGTACCTCATATCATAATACCTTCAATAGTACATGTAAGTCCTTTCCCCAAACTGTGCTTTTTGTATTTCACTAAAGTCCACGACTTCCATCTCCATAATGGTGTTGGTAACTAACTTCATGAATACTTTCAAATGTTGAACATCATTTCTCATTAATGACCTTTATTGACTGACTGTACTTTCCGATTCTGATTTTGTGAACAGGAAAGCGAAGGAAGAAGAGATCGTATGCGTTGTACTTGCATGACGTTGACTCTGATGGTTGCATGTCAGCTTGTGTATCATCTCAGACTTGATAACTGGATGGTTCCTTTCATTGCAGCAGGTAAGAAAGAACAATTATTATATAACATGTTCGAGGCGGCAGTGACATAAAGACGTAACTCCATTTTGGACATTTTGAGAAAAAGTGGTTACTGTACATGTATGTGTCACTGAGCACTTGGGCCTTGAGGAGTACGTAAGTCTATATTTCACTAGTCATTGACTTCAATGGGGTGTAGGGTGGAGTTATCAAAGTCTGTGTGTGTTTCCTGGAAATCCACATTTTTCTGAACATTTTAATATCAAATACTCATTTTGGCAAAATATGGAGTTACATCTTTATGTCACTGAACCCTCGTGTTGAGACTTAAGAGATGACCACCTGTTTTAACACAATTGACCATACAATACCAACATAGGAGTTGCTATGTCAGACGTGCTGTAGCATCACCAGGAAAAGAAAGGTGATTCTTTCGTGAGCATGTGCTGAGCTGGCCAGTTACATGTACATACCACCGTCTCTGTTACTTCACTAATGATGACATATGATGTCACAATTTGAATGAGATCTGGAGCATTTTTTAGGGTGGAGCTTAGCAGGTCTGAGGAAATTATTTTTTTATGTAAAAATCTATGAAATATCTAGATGTTTGAATATCAAAACATGAGTCCGTATGCAGCCCTGCACATCAACAGGAATCAACTTATATTTTGGAATTCACCCGACCTTCAAAAAGAAGGTTGAGTTCTGGGAAGAGGTGAAAAATGATTTGTGAGGGTTGTTATTGTATAATTAAATGCAAGTATGAAAGAACAACAGATAAAAAATGTTCCCTGAAAAGCATGGCTCTTCAAATGGCTTAATATTAAAAAAATATGGCATGTAACAACTAACATCATAAAAATCGGGACTGAATTTTATGCCACATGTCCATGTAGTCCCACATACGTGTACATCTTTCTGTGTACAGTGCTTGTAACTTTACCAAGACTGGGCCAAATTTCTTATCATTTGATGATTCCAGAACTTGGCAGCACACACCAATACTTACTGTATATACTAGATGATCAACCTTTTTTGATCAAGTTTCTTTCACAAAGCAATCGCATGACCAGAACTCAACTTTATTTTTGAGCAAGCCTGGAGCCCGGCCACAAGGGACCCGTGCTTCACATATATATCAGCTCATACTCCTTCCACGTTCCAACTTTATATATTTTAATTTTTCAAAAATTCTGGATTGCAACTTGTGAGCTTCGACAGTTCTAGTGAACAAAGGTTCATAGTCATATCCAAATATGTTGTGCTCGAAAGGTCTAAATATGCATTTATTCTCAGTTATACTTGTTTTCTTTGTTTGACAGTTGGAGGCATTCTGACAGCAGATTCTTCTCTGGGTTAGTTCATTGGGCAGCTGACTCATGGGGTTCAATTGAAATACCTGTAGTGGGACAGGTAAGTTTGATTGTCTGTATTACGAATGGTAAAAAGCCTATGCTTAAAGGTATAGACCAGTTTTAAAAACGCCCCCCTCTCAAAAAACGAAATGGAAGCTCTTATTACCAATCATGTGAAAGAACACTTTTTTGATAATATTAGTAATGTTACAAATTTTGCCGGGAAACCGTTCTACTGATTGATATATTTGGTAAATTATCATATCTATCCAGCCTGGATAGAAATTGTGAATGCACTTCAACATTGAACATTTGGACATATATTTCTGCTTTTTTTTTGCGAAGTTAGGTTACAGTATTGCCATCTAAACCTCTGAAGGCAATATTTAAAGAATATCGAATGGATATTTTGCACCCAAAACCCTGAGCATTCCAGCCAGGCGTCATTTTTACAAGCGCACACCTGCTAATCTAAGCACATTAGCTATCGCATCCTACCGGGGTACCCATTAACACTTGGGTGGAGAGTGGTAAATGTAGATCAATGTCTTGCCGAAGGACATTAGTATGGTCTTCAGTTTTGGCGGGGTGTTTTTTTTTCTTCATCAATGCAGGGAAAGAGCATTGGGGTAGTACATGGCACTGGTTTTTTAACATATACCAAATGTGTCCACAATAGGGTCTGAAATGAAATCATGTTTACTCACTTCAAACATGTATTTTTAGGATCAGGACTATTCATATTTTGAGAAATGCAAATTTTGGACCTTAATCTATCTCCTTTTATTCACCAGATATGAATACTTTGAGTTTTACAATTTTATTGTAAACTATAGCATATCTAATAACTGTGATATAAAACTCATTTGCTATTAACTTCATCAACAAATATGTTGGTCTTTAAGAATATGTTTCAGAGATTATTCATGCAAATTTTTGAGTTTCTATCTTGAAAAATACAGATTTTGTGTCCCTTGAAAGTGAAAAATAGCTCCAAATTAGAGTTTTGACAATAAAAAGTTTTTATTCATTAGGTAAAATGCTTTTTTCTTAGGTCAAACTGATTTTATTATAAACAACTGATGATATAAGTTAAATACATCCAAAAAAATGGGGGAACCAGTGCATTGCCTAATAATTTTGATATGTCACACACTGGTGTTTCGGACGTTACACACTGTTAACATCATAACTTATTCAAGTTAATTGCTTTTCTTTAGGTATTATTGACCTAAGTTACATTAATTGTTTGCAGAAAAATATTTCTTTAACATTTATTGAAAAACTTGTGTAGTTTTAATTAGTTTTGCACATACACCTAGTTTGTCTTCATCGACTACTCAATTTATGTAAGTATACTGTTCATTTCATGCAGGAACGTGTAGTTAAAAAGGCTTATGTGATCTAACAAAGTGAAATATGGAGCTAATAGCAATTGTAGTCATCACAACTCCTAGAAAATTTTGCAGGTTATGAACAACAGTGTACAATATATGCTATAGTTTGTTTCGGATGTTACAAGATGTGAACATTTCAATCAGATCATCAATTTATTCAAACTTTACAACATAGATGTTAATCGGCTTGCTTTGTACTTTGCCTAAAACTAGATCATGTAGTGTGTCATTCAATAATATCACTATCACATACATGTACAGTATGTACAGTGTAAGCAAAACATTACAAAAAATACTTTTAACAAATAAAAGTATATAAAAGTATCCCAGTCATTTAAGTAATAAGAAATATGGGAATCCTAATTCATTGTACATCCCGATATTCTTGCATAAATTTGAGGAAGTCACTATATCTTTAGGATCATGAAATGATCATTAACATGTACATTTGTTATGAGGGTCAAGCATTTGAAAAGTATTTGTACATAAGGCTATTACATTTGAGGGTAGTTCATCCAATGAAAGGATAAAATTATGAATTAATAATTTTGAAGAGGCTACACCTTATTTTCATGTTCATGCTTTAATTACCCCCACAAATTGGTAATCCATTTTCTTGTCATTTGGAAATTTGGCAGATCTACAGCTATGGCAACATTATGTTGTACAAGTTTCTATAATAGTATCGGATACTGATTACTGATTGATATTTTATAATGGAAGCCTTGTGCTCATCAATTGTACATGTATGCAACCAATGAGTGTGTCATGTAGTGTGCAAGCCAATTTCATAAAATTGCTTGATAAATTGTTATCATTATTAAGTGGTAAATGCCAATTCCAGTTTTGGATAATGGCAGTATCAATCCTTTCTACATAGATTAGTTACATGTATGAGTGCCCTTTTTAAAATGTATTTTCAGATGAAAATACATATTTTCATAAATTTTTTAGAAAAACATTTTAATTTGCTTGATTTTTATCAACTTTCATATACCTGTATCATATCCATGTCATGACCATGCACACTGGGTATTGCTTAAGTGGGTGATTTTTATTTTTGTAACCTACGAGATAGTGTAAATGACCATACAATCTTTGGTTATATGACATCATTTGGAACAACCTCTATAAAAATGAAAACCTCATGATTTGCAAACACACACCAATGTTTATAGCAAAAGGAGAGGTTGAACAAATGAAATTTGCTATTCTCACATCTATCATTGCCCCTCATTGAACTAGTTAAAGTATGAAAATGTCTGTTAACAGTTTAATGTAACGTCCGAAACGTGCTAACAGCATACCAGAAAATGCTGTTAAAGTGTCTGAATATTGTTATGAGTCACTTTTGTTGAGATTTTTTTCTGATAAATTACAATTAAGGATATACTGAAGCAGCCAGCCATGCCTTGCATCACAAAGTGTAGCTTCAATATTTTATGTTTTATAAGTCAATTTTGCAGAAAAAATTTAGATATTTTACGGATTATTGATTTTTGGCATCATATTTCTACACATTTTTATATTTAAATCTGAATAAAATCATCAAAATAGTGTTTTTAACAGGAGTGTCCATTGTGAAATGGTAACTTGCAGATATGATCGAAAATTAGGTGAAATTTGTCGACTTTGTGTTAACAATAAAATTGGTAACGTCCGAAACACCATTCTTGTGATTACAAAAAAATAATGGATTTGAAAGACCTGATTTGTGTTTTGACTTGTGTTTAAGACTTATAATAATTATTTCATAATGATTTATTCACTCTAGATACCTTAAAATATGGATTATTATCATTTATGGGTATTTTTTGTTTCGGACGTTACAACTGTTAAAGGAAATTGGTTTTAACTATAAAATATATTGTAGTAATGTATTGCAAATTCTTTGTTTTGGTGGGTTGCTGCAATGAGATGTTAACAAAATGTGATGATAGATATATCCTGCTGTTGATATATTTTCTGCTACTTCAACTTGAAAATTGTTCGGACGTTACAAAACTGTTTACGGAAAATGAGACCACTTTTTCAAATTTTGAGTATATTTCTAATATAAGCGCTACTATAATTAAATTATATTTTCTTTTAATATAATCAATTGGAGCAACTTATAAACTCACTCAAACCATATACGATCTCATTAATTTGTTGTTCTAGGGTTTAAATGAGGGTCTACATTGTTTACGGAAAATGTAACGTCCGAAACGCCATTTTCAATTGCACTTTTTCTATTAAAATAGGGAAGTTGATTCAGATTACTGTTAAGTTTCTTAAGATCCACTCATGCTCATTAATTATCAATAGAAAAAAAAACATATTGTTTGTGGCTATATATTTTTTTCAGCTCCGCCAAAATGGCATGTCAATTTTGTTACAAAATTCCGTAAACAATTTGCTGTTCAGGGATACCTCATGCGCATAAAGCAACGATGAAAATTTTTCGTTAAGCTATGGGAGGTTAACCTAGGTCCATGCTACTAGAAAAAGTTGTTACTGATTTCTAGTTCTTTATCTTTGGAAAGTTTCAGGCTCTCAAAGGGTCATTTAGGTATTTGGTCATAGTTAAAAAAACCAGTGCCACATGTCATGGAAAATTGGAAAAAGAACACTTTCGACCAAACCCAAAACTATATTTTATTGCTTTAATATTGTATTAGTAATTTGTTGATGTTATTGTGATGTTCATGATATTTATATCTCGAAATTCTTTATAAATGTTATTCCATAATGCTTGGAATCACCCATATTCATCGTATTACTGAATAATTTAAATGATAATGCAGCAATCACGAAAAGTGAGAAGGGGGCCACAATCATCCCAGTCTACCATACATCCCTTGTTTTATTAAAACTTGTTTGCTAACTTACATTTTTTATGAATTACTGAACGCCATATACATGTATATTTGTAAGAAAGGAATAATTATATGAAAGACTATGTGCCTGTTTGGTGGAATAAGTCTCATGAGACATCAATATTGTTACATGTACCATCAATTATGCTGTTTCAGAAGTTAAATCTTTTTGTCATTTTTCCACTTGAGTATTGTTGCATAGAAGCAACTGTGCCCTACACGTATTGTCAGAAGTCTGCATGTACATGTGGTCTCCATCATATTTGATTGGTCTCGATGTTTGTAGTACTTTGTATTTTGTTTCCCTGTGTACATGTACAGGCTTTCATCAGACCATTCAGGGAAGCACCACATTGACCCTACTGCCATCACCCGGCACGACGTCATCGAGACCAACGGCGACAACTGCATGATGTCTCTGATCGGCCTCATCCCGCAGACCTTTCATCCTCTTCAGCAGCTCCACGGAGACCATCCAGCAGCACTACGCCTGGCACTGCTTCTTCCTCCTGCTCGCCATCTTTGTCACACTGACCAACCAGTTCCACAAGTGGTCCCACACCTACTTTGGGCTTCCCGCCTGGGTCCAGT